ACCATCACCATCACCATCACCATCATCATCATCGTCATCATCATCATCACCATCACCATCATCAGTATCAATATCATAATCATAATCATCATCAGCATCAGCATCATCGTCATCGTCATCATCGTCATCATCGTCATCAGCATCGTTATCATCATCATCATCATCATCATCATCATCATCATCATCGTCATCACCCGTTACAGCACGCCCATCACACGCTTCGTGGCACTATAGGTCCCTAAGGTCCACCTAAGGTCGCAGTGGCGCAATCCGCATGGCGGCACCGCTCCATCTTGGCACACCCCTCACACGTTTCGTGGCCCCATAGGGAGCTCCACCTCAGGTCCCAGTGGCGCAGTCTGCAAGGTGACGACTCCCCATCTCGGCACACCCCTCACACGTTTCTTGGCCACATAGGGAGCTCCACCTAAGGTCCCAGATGCGCATTCCGCATGGCGGCGCCGTCCCATTTTGGCACACCCCCTCACACGTTTCGGGGCCCCATAGGGCGCTCCACCTCAGGCCCCAGTGGCGCAGTCTGCATGGCGGCGCCGCCCCATCTTGGCACACCCCTCACACGTTTCGTGGCCCATAGGGAGCTCCACCTCAGGTCCAAGTGGCGCCTTCCGCATGTCGGCGCCGCCCCATCTTGGCACACCCCTCACACGTTTCGTGGCCCCATAGGGAGCTTCAACAAAGGCCCCAGTGGCAGCGCTGGCATGGCGTCCCCTCCCCAGTTCGGCACATCCCTCACACGTTTCGTGGCCCCATAGGGAGCTCCACCTAAGGTCCCTGTGGCGCAGTCCACATGGCAGTGCCGCCCCATCTTGGCACACCCCTCACACGTTTCGTGGCCCCATAGGGAGCTTCAACGAAGGCCCCAGTGGCAGCGCCGGCATGGCGTCCCCTCCCCATTTCGGCACATCCCTCACGCGTGCCGTGGCCCCATAGAGGGGGCTCTACATCAGGCCCCCGCGCTTCGTGGCCCCACACGGAGATCCACCGAAGGCGATAGCAACAACGGCAGTAATTCACAACTGCATGACATGGTCGGGCTTTTCGCCAGGCAAATCTTTCATTTTTCGTGATATCGGGAGCGGCCAAGAGAGGGGTGTCCAAGAGGAGGGGTGCAAATCATGACTGGCGGCATGTGCGCGGCCCAGCGGGGGGGCCAGGGACGTAATGGAGCAAGAAGAGGCGCAATAACATCTGGGAAAACATCATGGCCCCCGCCATGATATCCACCCCCCCTAATCATCACCCCCCTCTCTGCCGCCCCCGATGATAACGGTTGTGATCGGGGAGGAGGGGAGTTCGTGCCCCCCCATCACATCACGGCGGGGGAGCACCGAAGCGCCCCTGTGTGCACCGCGAAGGCCTGTCATCACGCCAGCTCGTGATACAATCCCACCAGCCCTCTGGGCTTAGGTGGTCTAGAGCGCTTCCTTCGGCGGTGGACAAACCTCCCTTTAGTAAACCTCCCATTCGTGAAAACGGCCTGGGACCGAAACCGACGGACCTGGACCCGCAAAAATGACGGCCGTGACGCCCTCTCGCGAACCGAAAACGGCTGATTCCTCTATCGACGCGTCAGGGTAGCAAGTCTGTCTACCTCCGATTCTCTTCCAACCCCGTTCTTCCCTGCCGGGAAAAGGTTTACCCCTTTCCCTTGCCCCCTCCCCTGAACTTGGACGGGGGGGAGTTCGCGAGGTGTTGGAGCGTCCAAGATGACCCAAGACCGCTGTAAGAGCACCTCAGAGAGCCTAAGATGACCTCCACGATGGCTCAAGATCGCCCAGGGTGGTTCAAGATGGCTCCCAAACGCTCCAAGAGGGCTCCAGGTGGCCACGGCGGCCCCCCAGGAGGCCGCCAAGAAGCTCCAATCCTTCCCAAACCGAAGGATAATTACTGTTTTTTTCCCCCTTTTCGCTTCCGATGGCCCTCCGATGCCTCAGGAGGGCTCTAAGCTGGCCCAAGAGGGCTCCAAGAGGGACCCAAGAGGCCCAAGACGGCCCCAAGAGTGCCCAAGAGCGCTTCAAGAGCGCACCAATAGGCGTTGTTTTGGGCTCCCCAGGGAAGCCCAAAATGAAGTTGCTCTCCTTTTTGATCGATGTCTTCCAAGGCGGCTCCAAGAGCGCCCCTAAAGCTCCCAAGAGCATCAAAAGAGGGCCCCAAGAGGCGCTCAGACGGCCCCAAGAGGCGCCCAAGGGGCCTCCAAGAGGCTCCCAAGAGACCCCCACGAGGCCTCGAGAGGATCCCCGAGGCACCAACAACGCTCAAACACTGCCCTGGGCCCGCCTAGATATCCCCCAAGACGCCCCAAGAGGCCTCCAAAACGCTTCCAAGCGACATCCGAGGCGACTCCCAGAGGCTTCTGGCTCTTCTGTCCGCCCTTTCCCACCTCCTCCTCCTCCTCCTTCTCCTCCTCCTGATCCGCTTACTCCTCCTCCTCCTCCTCCTCCTCCTCCTCCTCCTCCTCCCTCCTGCCTCCCTCCCTCCCCCCCCCACCTCCTCCTCCTCGTCCTTTTCCAAGTTCTCCTGCTCCTTCCTCCTCCTCGCCCTCCTCCTCCTCGTCCTCCTCCTCCTCCTCGTCCTCCTTCTCTTCTCTTCTCTTCTCCTCCTCCGATTCCCTCTCCATTCTCCCCCTCTTGGGGTATGACTTCCTACCCAGCCCTTCATTCCACTGCATGCTCATCCACGTCCCTGATCAAGGCAACTTGCCTGGGCATCGTTTCTGGGATGGGCTGGTGGGGTCACGCGAAGCGCCTGGAATCCTAGGCGAACCCTTGGGCGATCCTTGCAACTGTGGGCAAACTAGCGTGGCGTGATCCAGGTTTTGGGGGAGGGAGGGTGAGGACCGATCACGGCCGTTATCGCCCAGCCGGCTCAACTTCGCCAACGCATCCGAGTGCACGGGCCCGTCCTAGACCGACAGAGAGGAGCCTGCGGCTGGACCTCCTGGGAACTCTTGCACGCGGCATCTGGCTTGAGCCCAGGAGCGGGCCTGCTTGGTCAGATGACCCCGCATCAGAAATCAGGGGTAAGCCAGCATGCCGCGTGACGCTATATGGCGAAGAGGGGCTGCCACGAATGCCACGCGTGGTCGAGGGTCCTGACTGAGGAGGCTGGGCTGACGGACGAGGCCGCACGGACGAGAGCCGTCGTGCGGCACGCCCTCCCTCCCCCTCCCTTCCCCTCTCCCCCCTCGGCTCCAAGCGCCCGGCCCTGGGTGAACCCTCTCAACGCACGCCCCAGTGGGCCTGAACGGTCTTGGACTCATGCGAAGAGGGCCGCGAATTCGAGCCTGGGTGGACGCAACTCACCACAGCGCCGGGCCTCCCAGGAGCAGTAGCGGCAGTTGCGCAGTTGGCAGACCCCACAGAAAGCCAAGAGGTAGGAGGCTCGTAGGATGTAGTCAGCATGCAGGCAGGAGACATAATGAGGGATGGGGAATGAGGGACGAGGGATGAGGGATGATGATGCTGCTGCTGATGATGCTGATGCTGATGATGATACTGATGACGATGCTGATGATGATGCTGATGATGCGGATGCTGCTGCTGCTGCTGATGATGATGATGATGATGTTGATGCTGCTGCTGATGATAATGATGCTAATGCTTCTGATGATGATGATGATGATTCTGATGATGCTGATGATAATGATGCTGAGGAGGAGGAGGAGGAGGAGGAGGAGGAGGAGGAGGTTTGAGCACGCAATGCTTTAGTCAAAACAGGAATCCAACTCGGAGAGTTTGGAATAAAGCAGAATGCAGAAGGCATGAGGAGGGAGAGGCGAGTGGGCAGGAACAGGTTGTGCGAGTAGTGTGCTGTATTCGAATCGAGGACCGAACCAGAGGAGGGTTGGGAATCCCATCAGCCCACTTGGCATAGGTGGTCTAGGGGTGTTTCTCTCTTCCCTCGTCCATAACCCCTCTTTTCTTCGGGGAGGGGTCCCTTGCCCCTTCCCTCCTTGAGTTTTGTGTTAGCGGTTTTGCGATTTGTCAGAGGGTTCTTTTCTCCCCAACGGTGGCTCCAAGAGGGCCTCCGATGCCCTAATATGGCATCCGAAATGGTTGCAGATTACCGAAATTTGCCCAATATGGCTGAACACATGCTCCAAGAAGCCCAAACGACCGCTCCAAGGCGGCCCGAGAGAAGCCAGCATCGCTCAACAACAAATGGCAACCATTGACGTCGCAGTTTGGCGTTTTTGTTTCCGATTGGCTTTTGAGGCCTCCAGACAAGATGGCCCAGGAGAGGCCTACGAGGCCCCCGAGAGGGCCCAGAGAGCTCCCAAGCGGCCCCCAAGACGAGCCCAGGAGGGCCCCAAGAGGCGATTGCCATGGCCCCAGAGGGGGGGGGGGACTTCAAGGATCCCCCCTCCGTTAATCGATGGCCTCCAAGATGGCCCAAAGAGGCTCTCCAAGGCTCCCAAGAGGGCCCCAAGACTCCCCGAAAGAGCCCCGAGAGGGCCACAAGGCTCCCAGACGATGGCCTCACGAGGGCCCCGAAACACCGCCAGGAGGGCACCCAAAAGGCCTCAAGAAGACACAAGGACGGCTGCAGGAGTCCTTGTCCTCGTCTTCGTCGTCCTCTTCCTCCTCCTTGTCCTCCCCCTCCTCGTTCCCGCCCTCGTCCTGCTGTTCCTTCTCCTCATCGTCCTCGTCCTCGTTTTCCTCCTCCTGCTTCTCCTCGTACCTCTCGGTGCATCTGGATACTAGGACTGATAACTCCTCAGCATGCTATTCACAACTAGCACACACTCACTCATACATACATCGTGACGACGCCGTGGGCAATGCTAGCCTCTTCTTAACCTTTGCCATGCTTTACTGGACGGTGTGCGCAACGAACGCATGCAAGTATCAACATGCGGGGTTTAGACTCCAAATTCACATGTGTATGCCAATGGAAACACACTCATCCATATACCGGCATGTACAAGCATATGTTACGAACGCCACGCGACGAAACAACACATCAAACACTGGCACCGCGTCCTTCTCTGTAAGCAGAGGATACTTGATAATGTCATACATCCCGCCGTCCTCGCGGGGGGTGGGGCGACTCAAGCCAAGTACAGACAACTGTGAACGATCGCTGGCCACTTTCGTGACTGGCCGCGCCGCCAGACAAAGCTTCAACCACTTTGAAATCAACCCGACTCGGTAATATGGGGAAGGCGTGTCGGCATCCCCTCTCCTACAGTCGGACCTGCACCATAATAGCACCCCTCAAGAACATGAGACCCTCCGCCGGCCAAAACAAACAGAACACCCAAGAATACCTTCCCCAGGTTGCACAAGAACATCCAACAAGCACGAAGAACAGTGGGGTACCCTCCCCGAACCGACCTCCATCTTACACCTCGGTTCGACGGTTCGAGTCCAGGCTGGCTCCCCAAGGCACCCATCCACACGCAAACAAAGGGAGCCCTTCTGGCATCCGGCCGAGGCGAGTCGAACTCGAAATCGCTTGCACCTTGCCTGGCCACGGGGGCAGAGAACCTCTCTCGGATTCCACAGGGGCTTCAAAGACGTCCAAGGGGGTGGGGTACAGGCGAAACGCTGTCATGAGGACCCTATCGAAGGAACGGGGCCCCTTTGGTTACACAAATAAAGCTTCGATGTCCAATAGAAAACCTAAGGAACACCCAAGACAAACTGCAAAACAATTCAGGAACACTGACCCCCTCCTCAACGAACAGGGTTCCTTCCGCGGCCCGACTCTACTCCCCGACAAGTACTCCGTCCCCATTCGGCCGCATTGAATCGGTTTCGAGGCCGCGCCTGACGATTCCGCATTGGGGCGTCCACTCCAAGCAAAGGAGGCCCGCCCAAGCGATGCTGCCGCAGTTCTGACGCTGTCGGCAACAGCCTGCTGCCAACACAGGGGATCACTCGACCGTTCACTCTCCCACTCCCTGTCCCGTCCCCCTACCCTCCTTCCGCTCCCCCTTCACATCGCTGTCGGAATTCCAGAGTGAGAGAGAACGCAAGCAAGGGCCAACCCTGGTGCTCGTTCCTCCTCGAACTCGTACTGGTACAACCCCATCTTGGCCTCCAGCTTGTCCTGCCTCATAGGGGAGCTGATGCCCTGGAAACGGGGCCCCCTCGGCACCTTGCTGCCGTCGCCTGCGCGGGCGCGCTCACGCGCGAACCGGACAAACACGCCACCTCGGCTCTGCAGGGCAAGACACCCAAAGACACACTTACAAAAGAGAAGTTATGCTTCTAGGGCCAGGGCCGGGGGCGACTATTCAAATGTCGCAGCAGCTTTCCAAGTGAAAGGGCGAGGAAACGCCACCGCGCGACAAACTACAGTCAGCGGAACAGTTTGCCAATGAGAATTTGCCGTGGGCGGCTGGGACGCTCGCGCTAGGCAACAATGCATGGCTGCAGCCCGCGCCGTGCGCGGCTGGAGCGCTCGCGCTCGGTAGAGATGCGTGGGTGGAGCCCACGCCGTGCGCGACTGGAGCGCTCCCGGTCGGTAGACGTGCCTGGCTGGAGACCACGCCGCGTGCGGCTGGAACGCTCGCGCTGGGTAAAACAAACATGGCTGGAGCCCACGCCGAGGTGATATCGGAAATCCGAATATTTGCCCCAAAAGAGTTGCAGGGTGCGAGTAGGGTGTTCTGGCCATAGCTCGAGAAGCAGACCGATCTAAGGCGCCCCGCTCCTCTAAACTAGCTGGATGCTGCTGAAGCTCTCGGTATACATAACGTCTCTGCAGCTGCTCCATATGTAGAGATGTATTTGAACAGCAAGCAACTTCTACGAACTATTAATATCTTGAGGTCGGTTCCCGAAAGTGTTTCGAAATAAATTTTGCAGCTGCACCACCAAAGCTTTCATCAACGGATTCGACATATGCTAATACTCGGCGTAAAAATGTGAATTCTTGGACAGGATTTTCAAATTTCGAGCAATCTTTGAAAAACCGACCCCAGGTCACCACGGGCTGGAACGCTGCCGCTCAGCTGGAACCCACGCCGCGTGCGGCTGGAATGGTCGCGCTGGGTAACAAGTAAAACGGCTGGAGCCGACACCGTGGTCGGCTGAAAGAAGTTCCCGCGTGAGAAAAAAAGCTGGAACCACCCCTTTTTGTCGGCATAGGCGGCTGGATCTTTTTCCCACGTAGAACCTGATGGCTGGAGCCTTACCCGGTGAAAGCGTTGTAGCTACGCCTCGCTCCCAAACTGGTTCAGTCCGCGCGCTCGTTTGTCAGTCCGTCGGTCGTCGTCGTCGTCGTCGTCGGTCGTCGTCGTCTCGGTCCGTCGGTCGGTCGGACCGTCGGTCGTCATCGGTCGTCGTCTCGGTCGGTCAGTCAGTCGGTCGATCGGTCGTCATCGTCGGTCGTCGTCGTTTCGGTCGGTCCGTCGGTCGTTCCGTCCAGTCGTCGGTCGTCGGCGGATCGGTCGTCGTCGGCGGTCGTCGTCGTCTCGGTCGGCGGTCCACAACCGGGAACCCGCCCACGCCGTGGCGTGCTCTGAAAGCGCGCCACTGGAGCCAAAGCGTCTACGGATGCTATGAGGTTGAGAACAAGCCGTTGGACCCCAAATCTGCCCGACATGATATGCTCATGAACATGTCGCTACCACAAGAGTGCACTGACTGTATGGAAGGCACCAAGTGCGGCAACGATGTAGGACTCGGAGCGATGCAGCGGTCAAACAAACACAACCCTTGGGAAACCCGCCCATGCCCTGACGTATCTTGCCAGCGTGGCTGGGAGGTCGTGGCCCCGCAAGGCTAGGGCGGGTTGCGCCGAACCACAAATTCTGGAAGGTCGTCGGGAAGTTGCCCGCGGGCGTGAAGGCTGGCGGCGGGAAGGGTAGGCGGCCGATATCTCTCGCAAGCGGGCCACGTACCGGCCAACAGTTAGCAACCAGTTTCTGAAGTGGTTCCCGAAAACGCTGGATTTTCAAGCGGTGGCAAGGATCGCATCGCGCAGCGCTTGGAGGATGCCGTCGACCAACGGATGCGGTTTGTCTTCTGCGCCAGTAGGGAGCTCAACCGGAGGCCCCACTGCTACCGCCCGCATGCGTCCTCCCCACCCAATACAACGTTTCGTGGCCCCATAGTGATCCCGGTCTCAATGCTACCGCCCGCATGCGTCACACCCACCCAATACTGCGCTTCGTGGCCCCACAATGAACTCCACCGAAGGTCCCAATGGCAACCGCCCGCATGCGTTCCCCCCACCCAGCACAACTCTTCTTGGCCCCATAGGGATCTCCACCGAAAGCCCCAGTGCCACCACCCGCATGCGTCACACCCACCCAATCAAGTGTTTCGTGGTCCCATAAAGAGCTCCACCGAATGCCACAGAGGCACCGCCCGCATGCGTCACACTCACCCAGTACACCGTTTCGTGGCCCCTAAGGAGCTCCATCGAAAGCCCCACTGACACCCACCACCCGCATGCGTCACAGCCACCGTGTACACCGTTTCGTGGCCCCATAGGGATCTCCACCGTCGGCCCCAGTGCTACCGCCCGCATGCGTCACCCCCACCCAGCACAGCGCTTCGTGGCCCCATAATGATCTCCACCGAAAGTCCGTCTCATTGGCACCGCCCGCATGCGTCACACCCACCCAGTACAGCGTTAGCGTTTCGTGCATAGGAAGCTCCACCGACGGCCCAAATGGCACCGCCCGCATGCGTCACACCCACCCAGTAATGCGTTTCGTGGCCCCATAGTGAGCTTCACCGAAGGCCCCAGTGGCACCGCCCGCATGCGTCACACCCACCCAGTACAACGTTAGCGTTTCGTGGCCCCATATTGAAGGCCCCATTGGCACCGCCCGCATGCGTCACCCCCATCCAGCGCAAGGCTTCGTAGCCCCATGGGGAGCTCCACCGAAGGCCGTAGTGGCACCGTTCGCATGCGTCACCCCCCACGGAATGCAACGCATCGTAGCCCCATAGGGAACTCCACCGACGGCCCCGATCGCACCGGCCGCATGCGCCCCCCCCTCCCAGCCAGTACAGCGCTTCGTGGCCCCATGGGTATCTCCACCGAAATCCTCACTGACACCACCCGCATGCGGCACACCCACCCAGTCAAACGTTTCGTGGTCCCATAAGGATCTCCACCGAATGCCACAGAGGCACCGCCCGCATGCGTCACAGCTACCCAGTACACCGTTTCGTGGCCCCACAAGGAGCTCCACCGAATGCTGCAAATGATGCACTCGCGTGCAGTTTCCTCTACGCAATGCAGCGTTTCGTGGCCCCATAGGGAACTCCACCGAAGGCCCCAGTGGCGGTGTTCGCATGCGCTCCTCCCGCCCACCACAACGCTTCGTGGCCCCATGGGGAGTTGCACCGAAGGCCCTGGTGGTTGTACTCGCGCGCGTTTCCCCCGCCCATTGCGCTGTTTCGTTGCCGTATAAGGAGCTCCACCGAAGGCCCCAGCGGCGGCCCCGCCCCACCGCGGCGCACCCCTCACACTTTTCGCGGCCCCGTAGTGCGTTTCGCTTAAACCGCCAGTGGCAGCGCCCACATGGCGGCCCCGCTCCATATCGGCACGCCCGTCGCATGCTTCATGGCCCCATGAGCAGATCCCCCGAAGGCGATACCTGCGACGACATTACTCACAACTGCATATGGTTGGGTCCTTCGTCACGATAATCCCACCAGCCCTTTGGGCGTGAGTGGTTTAGCGAGCTCTCTCTGTCCTCAACCCCCTTCTTCCCCTTCGGGGAGGGGTTTACCCCTCCCCCTACCCCCTCCCCCTGGGCCTGGAGAGGGGGGGCCGCGGGTCGTCAGGGGGGTCAATTTCGACTCCTGGGAGGGCGAAAAAACGACACCCCTCACGAGGATTCTGGCCCCGACGGGGGGGGGCAGAAAAAATGCTCTCCTCTTCTTTGAAGCCAGAATCATTGATTTTACTACGGTTTCGGCCCCATTTTGGCCTTCTGAGGGGGCAGCGCTCCTCTTCCTTCATAGCAAAATCATTGATTTTAGTTTTTACGAAAGTTTTGGGCTCATTTTCTCCTTCTCAGGGGGCAGCGCTCATTTGCGCTTCTGAGGAGGTCGCAAGAGGCCCCAAGATGGCCCCAAGAGGCCCCCAGGAGGCTCCCAAGAGGCCTCCAAGAGGCCCCCAAGAGGCCCCCAAGAGGCCCCAAGAGGCCCCCAAGAGGCCCCCAAGAGGCCCCCAAGAGGCCCCAAGAGGCCCCAAGAGGCCCCCAAGAGGCCCCCAAGAGGCCCCCAAGAGGCCCCCAAGAGGCCCTCCAAGAGGCCCCCAAGAGGCCCCACGAGGAGCCCGAACGACTCACACCAGGACGAGGGGCCCGAACGACTCGCACCACGAAGAGCCCGAACGACTCACACCAGGAGGAGGGGTCCGAACGACTCACACCAGGACGAGGCGCCCGAACGACTCACACCACGAGGAGCCCGAACGACTCACACCAGGACGAGGGCCCCGAACGACTCACACCACGAGGAGCCCGAACGACTCACACCAAGAGGAGCGGCCCGAACGACTCACACCAGGACGACGGGCCCGAACAACTCACCCAACGAGAATCCCGAACGACTCACACCAGGACGAAGAGCCCGAACGACTCACACCACGAAGGGCACGAACGACTCACACCAGGAAGAACGACTCACACCAGGAAGAACGACCCGAAGCACGAGAAGCCCGAACGGCTCACACCAGGACGAGGGGCCCGAACGACTCACACCACGAGGAGCCCGAACGACTCACACCAGGAAGAAGGGCCCGAAGGACTCACACAAGGACGATGGGGCCGAACGACTCACACCACGAGGGGCCCCAACGACTCCCACCAGTCGCCGTCGTCGTCGTCGTCGTCGTCGTCGTCGCCGCCGCCTTCGTCGTCGTCGTCGTCGACGTCGTCGTCGTCGTCGCGGTTGTGGTCGATATCGTCGTCGTCGTCGGGTGCGTCGTCGTTGTTAGGATCATCGTTGTGGTCGTCGTCTCCGCTAAATCCCTCTTGCCTCCCACTGCTTTCTCTCCCTCCTCCTCCGCCTCGTCCTTCTCCCGCTCCCACCACAAGGAGGATGTACAAGGAGGCGGGAGGAAGGAGGAACAGGGGAGATATGCGGGGGCAAGCGGACACACGCCTGAAAAACACGACTGTCGGCATGCTTCGCAAGAGTTGCTGTTTTGAGATGGGCTGGTGGGGATACGCGAAGCGTGAAGAATTTTTCCCCCCAACCATCATGTGGTGTTGGGTCCTCGTTTTGAGAAAACGGTCCCTGCGTTCCTCCTTCCTCCTTCCTTCCTCTCCCTCCTCCCTGCGTTTCGCCCGCCCAGTGCAGCGTTTCGTGGCCCCGTAGGGAACTCCACCGAAGACCCCACTGGCAAGGTTCGCATGGCGGCCTCGGGCCATTTCGGCACACCCCTCACGAAGATCGTGGCTCCGTAGGGAACTCCACCGAAGGCGCCCGTGGCAGGGTTCGCGTGGCGGCCTCGGGCGATTTCGGCGCGCCCCTCGCGAGGATCGTGTCCCTGGGAGCTCCACCGAAGGCGCCACTGGCAAAGTTCGCGTGGCGGCCTCGGGCCATTCCAGCGCACCCCTCGCGAGGATCGTGGCCGCATAGGGAACTCCGCCAAAAGGCCCCAGTGGCAGGGTTCGCATGGCGGCCTCGGGAAATTTCGGCACACCCCTCGCGAGGACCGTGGGCACATAGAGAACTGCCGAAGGCGCCAGTGGCAAGGTTAGCGCGGCGGCATCGGGCCATGTCGGCGCACCCGTCGAAAGGATCGTGGCCCCATGGGAGCTCCGCCAAAGGCCCCGGTAGCAAGGTTTGTGTGGCGGCCTCGGGCCATGTCGGCTCACCGTCACGAGGATCGTGGCCCCGTAGGGGCTCCACCGAAGGTGCCAGTGGCAAGGTTCGCAAGGCTGTCTAGGGCCATTTGGGCACACCCCTCACGTGGATCGTGACCCCATAAGGGAGCTCCACCGCAGGCGCCAATGGCAGGGTTCGCGTGACGGCCACGGGTCGTCTCGGCACACCGATCGTGGCCCCATGGGAGTTCCACCGAAGGCACCAGCGGCAGCCTCCCTCATGGCTCTCAGTGCCCTCTCTTGCTTCTGCTCCTCGATCAGAGGGACGCCGTCCTCGTCGTCGTCGGCGCTCGCGAAGACTGCCACGAACGTGTCCCTGAGCATGTCGGGCTCCGGCAGGAAACCGTTGCCACATAGGGAGCGCGGGCGAAAATGGTATTCACAACTGCGGTGTTCACATCTGCAGATGGTTGGGTCTTTCGCCAGATTATGTTTTCTCCTCTTTCTTTCATTCTTACGCAGTCCTACTTTTCTTGCTCCTCCTGTTTATCTCGGATTTGGCCAGGACAGACCACATCATACAACGGGCAAAGAAACACAACGAGGAGAATCCATACTCTGAAGACACGTGCGATGATCAGTTGTCGCACAGAAGAACCAAATTCTAGACTTGGTCACAACCAACAGGCCGGGAAGGTAACAAAGGGCGGGGTGTGGAGGGGAGGAAAATGGGATGCGGGCTGATGCCACGCATGCCTGTGCGTCGGCAGCTGTGTTGAAGAGTACCTTTAACCACGTCGTGCCACATGCGGCCGAGCCAGGCACCGCAACTCTCAAATATTGTTCAAGTGCAAGAGAAATTCATACCAGACTTGACCAGACAAGTCTAATCGAGACTACGTCAAGATGGTGAAGTACTTGTCACTGGATAGGCTGGCTTGGACAAGCGGACCGTATCGACTTCAGAAAGAGGGGGTGGGGAGGACATGAACAGAGATATGCAGAGGGACACAAGCTTCGCATTCTAATTCCAAGAAGTCTTCGGATCATTGCCGGTCTGCGTGCGCACTGCACAGAATAAACATGCGTAGAATAATGCTCTCATACACAGAGACAATTCCAATAACTTGCAAACAAGCTCTCAATACTCTCCTGGAGGGACTGCCGCGATCTTACAGGGACATCCCGAACAACCTCCAGAAGCCTGTTCGAAGCTCGATGGGTCCTCTCAGGCCTCGTGCGCTCGATTTCGAATGAGATCCTTCATGGCTTCTTCCTCTGTCAGCCTTCGGGGTCCTCTGGATGACAATGCACGACTCGGCGCGAGACAAACAGATGCTAAGGCTCCCAACTTCGCGCTTCGCGCTCCTCGAAACGCGAATAGCTTCGCGCTCTCGCGCCGCCCCACCAAAGGGAGAAGAGGAGGACGAGGAGGAGGGGGAGAAGGAACGAGAACCGCGAAGCGCGAATAACTTCGCGCCCTCGTGGGAGCCCTTGCAAATGCAGCGACACGAGTGGAGCGGAGGGCGCTGGCACGGAAAGACTGTGCGACGTCAGGACAGGGACGGGTGCACCTGCCCTGCCTCTCCATCCCATCTGCTCCAGGCGCTCCCCGATTCTACAGTCAACCCGCAGAGTAAGGATGCGCCAGAAGGGTGCAAGGCCCTCGGACGCCCATTTCGAAGCTTCCCGAGCGGGGCGCGGCCAACGAGAGTGTCCAAGGATGGACCCAGGAAACCACTATGCAAGAGGGCACCCTTGGGAGGGATGCCTACCCTTACTCTGCGGGTCGATTCCACTCCACACCCCCCGATCGCAACGCGGGCGGGGAGGGCGTCACGTGGGCTCGCAGACGTCACTGGGCGCAGGCTCGAAGACGCCACCGGCGGCGGCGCTCGCGCAAGCCCAGATGGGCGCTGCTGCCAGTGCGCGGCCTGAAGCCGCACCGGGTGGGGTGCAGGGGGGCGCCCTTCAAGGCTCATCGGGCGGGTCGGTGGGGCAAAGGCACGTGCTAAGAAGGGCGCATCATCGATGCAGTATTTCCGATCCTATGCAGTGCGTCGCTCGGCCGAAGCACTGCCTTCGACACCAGGCCTGTGTGTTTGCCGCGGCTGTGTTGGCATTGACAAACGAGGTCACGAACAACGTGCACAAAAATAGCGGGCTGGATGGAAACGGAAACCCACCTATTGAGAACCATCGCGCAACATCGAGATGGTCCTGCTGCTGCGCTCATCGACACATCCCCTAAAATTGGCAAAACAAATCGGCCCGGCCCGTGCGAGGTCATCATGCTGCGTGGACCCAATCTCCTCACCAACATCAAATGCACGTGTACTAGAACGTTTCGAATCATGTTTTACACGATTGAACTTCAGATCTACAGGGGATAGATATGTATACCAATATAGACATGTATATAAGCATATGGTCGCCGCCACCTGTGATCATACCTCTCTCTGCTTCTCTGCTCCTTCCTCGTGTTCCTCTCTCTTCTGTCTCCTCCACCTCTCCTTTTCCTCCTCCTCCTGCTCCTCCTCCTCCTCCTGCTCCTCCTCCTCCTCCTCTTCCTCCTCCTCCTCCTCCTCCACTCCTCCTCCTCTGTAGCAATACAGAACCAACACAAGACAGCGCTTGGCGACGTCAATGCAAGGAATCACTGTGTTTTTTTTTGGGGGGGGGGGGGGGGCTGTGTTTTTTTTGTTTTGGGGGGGGGCGGGTATTTTGGGTTGTGGGGCCACGCAACCTACTTTTTTTGTTTGGTTTTGCAGGTCCCAATGCTCGCCGAGGCCTCCCTCGCAGCACTGTGAACCTACCCGCCAAAAACAAAACATACAGAGTAGTTGGCGCCCTTGGTGCAAGGACGCGCTTTATTTTTTGGTTCGTGAAAACACGAAACTGTTTTTTGCAAGACCCAGTGCTCGCCGCTGTCTCTCTCGCAGCACTTCTCTTTGAGCCTTAAAGCCCCCAAACCAAAACAAACAAACATACACAGTGTTTCCTTGCATCCCAAACCAACACAACAAGAAACAAACAGACACATAATATGGAGCCCCTGGTGTAAGGAGATTTTTGGGTTTGTGCAACCACTAAACAATGTTTTTGTGTTTGGTTTTGCAGGCCCCGGTGCTCGCCGCGGCCTTTCTCGCAGTACTTCTCCTTGAGACCTGAAAGGCAACAACACAACAACACAAGCAAACATACACATTGTCCCAAACCGAAGCAAACCACACAACTAAACATACACACCTTTTTCTTGAACCGAAGGTGAGGACGCTTGGCCATTAAGGATTCCTTCGTTCATATTACGCATGAAGGGTTCCGTAGTAAAGACTCCGTAGTAAGGATTCCTCGATGCAGATTCTTTAGTAAAGAATCCATTGTGCATATTCCTGAGTAGGGGCTCCTTAGTTGAGATTCGTCATTAAAACTTCCCGTAGCGACCCCCGACCCCCTGTTCCAGAGTTCTTACCGCGAGCTCCTTATTCATATTCTTTAAGGAGATATTCTTTGGTAAGAACTCATTATTCAATATTCCTTCATAGCTATTCACCGTGAGGAAATATTCCTTTAGGGCTCCTCAAGTATGCGCCTTTGCAAGGATACCGCATGAAGGATTCCAGAGGACATATTCCTGATTACAGGGGTTCTGGTTACAAGGGTTCCTGAATCAAGCGTCCTTATGAAAGATTCCTGCATGAGTACTCCGTATAAAAGGATTCCAGATTCAGGATTCCTTATCTAGGATTCCTGAGTTGTGATTCCTTATGAAGGATTCCTTATTTTAAAATGGATTTTCCAGAACTTCTGAATTCAGATTCGCTATAAACAGTGCGTGGCTAAAGATCTCTTAGTGCGGATTCCTGTATCTATTTCCGGAATAAAGATTTCCCATTCAAGATTCCTTACGTCGGATTCCTTGTGGCGGATTCTCGAGCAAATATTCCGCAATAAGGATTCCTTAGGTCAGATTCCTTCTTCGGGATTCCTTAGCCAGGCTTCCTTATGAAGGATCCCCTATTGAGGATTCCTTAGTACGATTACCGTATTACAGATTCCTTAGCAAAGACCCCTTGGTAAATATTCCTGAGTAGTAACACCGTACTTCGGATTTCTCAGGAAAGGGTACAGCGACGACTTTTTTATGGCAGATTCTTTACATAGGATTTCTGATCAAGGGTTCCTTCTGCAAGATTCCTTTCGGAGGCTTATTTAGTTTAGGATCCCGTATTAAGGGTTCCTCATTTCAGATTCTCGGATTTCTCAAGTAATGGTCCATATGAAAGATTTCTCGGCACAGACTCCTTACTAACGATTTCTTCTTCACGATTCCTTAGTCAGGATTCATGGGCAAATATTCCTTGTCAAGGGTTCCTTTGTTAGGGCTCCACATGAAGGGTTCCGTGTGTACATCTTCCTTTCCTCGCGTCCCTTCGAACTCTCTGCAGTGGGTACCGAAAAATATGAATGGGCGCGCAGCCCGGGATTCCAGGAACCCTCGCGCGCTCCTGAGGGGTGCCCGCGCGACTTTTCGAGAGGTCAGGGGCGCGTTGTCCGGACATGCGTGTCCTGTTTGCTTTCAAATGGCCCCGGGGACCGTCCTGGAGCTCTCTTGGGCGCCTCCTGGGCCGTCTTGAAGGCCCTGGAGGCCAGCCTAGGAGGCAAACATCGTCAGCGTCTATCTTTTTTTTGTATGGTCTTCGCATTACCGCATGTTCGGTCTTCAGAGCGTGGCAAGCGGGCCAAGAGGCGCCCAATATCGCCCCAAACCGGACCCAGAGCCCCAAAGACGGGTCCAAGATTGGGAACACGAGCTCACATTTTGAGCCCTCCGCCCCACGATGGCCCCAAGATCCCCCACAAGCCCCCAAGGTGCGCTCATGGGGCCCCAAGGGCCCCCAACAAGCCCCGAGAGGCCCAAATCGGGCCCACAAGCGCCCCGAATAGGCCCCGCGACATCCCCCAAAACTACCTCCACAAGGGATCCGAGAGGCCTCCTGAGAGACCCTCACCGGATCTCAAGCAAGCCTCTGACCTACAACCCGGCCATTATATGTTAAGCTACATAGCGACACGCTACACATACAGCGGGAAAACGAACCGAACCAATAGGTCCCCGACACGGTCCTAAACAAATGCCGAGACGGTCAGCTCGAACTGGTCTCGGAGTCTCTCCCGTCCAAGATGCCCTCTGAGATCGCCATCGATCCCCCAAGAGACCCAAGATGCCTACGACATGCCCCCAGGAGGCGCCCAAAACCCCGCAGGACCCCGCAGTCCCCCTCCCCAGGGGCGCAGCGAGATGGCAACAGTGGAGTGCCTGGCACGACCCGAAGCGAGCGGTGTCATTGAAGGGGGCCCTGGGACACACAAGTGAATAGACACAAATAACAGGATTCCCCATGTCTTCCCATATTTTCTGGGTTTTTCTCTTCCCCCCACTTCCAATATTTTCGCATCTGTTCTTGTGAATCGACGATTGATTGTGTCTGTGTGTTTTTTCTCTCCTGAGTCATGTCAGTTCGAGTAAGATGCTATGAGAAGCAGCCAAGATGATAACTAACTCGGGTGAGGATACACCAACACTCTCTGAGATCTGGCGGCTCTGGAGGATGTCTGGGCGCCGCAGCCTTTTCAAGTCGTCCGAGAACGCTCTCAGAGCATTCCGGAACGCTCTGGAACGGACTTCTCCTCGTCTCAGCCCCGTCCGATCCTACCCGTGTGGACCTCTCCCCACAAACGCAGCAAGGCGGCAACAATTGCACGCCTGGCAGCACCACGCGAGTGCCGCACCTTTCTTTGGGTCTGCGTGAAACACCGCTCCTGAGACCCCCACTTGGGCGCATCAACATAATGAGAAATTCGCGCCTGGCACCACGCAAGGTGCGCGAGGTCTCATTTGGGTATGCGTAGGACACCACATCGCCAGACCATTCGGGGTCGCAGCTGAGCCTGTACAGGACACCACCCCGCTCGACAATTCAGGGCCGTAGCAAACGGCCGACAGTTGCGCGCTTGGGGTGGCAAGGGTAACACCCCAGATAGCGAACGACATCTAGAAACTGGAAGAACAGAGGACACGTTGAGAAGCAAGATACGCGGCGGGGGAAGGACGAGGATGAGGAGGCGAGGAGGCCAAAGGAGAAGGAAGGAACAGCACTAATCTTATAGACCTATACGAGTAGGAACTATGTCATACCAGCGTGTAGACGCTATCATATCGTTCAAGAGAGAGAGAGAGAGAGAGAGAGTGTGTGTGTGTGTGTGTGTGTGTGTGGGGCCTTGTGTGTGGAACTCAACGCGTGTGGCATCCAACGAAAGGCCCCCCTGTGCGTTAGGAACCTACCTATCAGGGGAATCCTAAAAAATCTGTAGGGACTCCTTAAGAATCCCTCGGGAATCCTTAAGAATCCATTGGGAATCCCTAAGACTCCCTATGGAATGGTTAAGCATCCATATTGAATGTCTAGGGAATCCGTAAGAATCCATGAGGAATCCTTCAGAATCCCTAAGGGGCAATCGCTCAGGCCTGTGTTGAGGGTGCACCGGCTGAGGCCAAGGCGTCGCCAAAAGTGCCGCCGTGCCAGTATCCCTTTCAGGATGCTGGTGTCGTCTGGGTGCGGGAGCACGTATGAATCGCATAATCTGTTCCAAATGTGCCCGCTCGTCTGTTTTAGCCGAGTGTAGCCATGCCTTCTGGTGTTGACTGTTCGTGGTGCCGTGGAAATGCTGGAGAAACTAGTTGATACAAACATCCCCTCTCGTCCAGTTTACCGTGCTTGTAGATGTTCATTATTGTAGGGGTGGAGGCTCGAATACTAATGACCAACACGCCGAGGCTGTTCTAGCTGTGGTTCTTTCGCAATCCTGACGGCGCATCTTCACGCCATGTTGCGCTGCGTTGCCACCTAATCGCGCGACAAATGCCGGTGCGTCAGAATCCGTGTTGGTCGCGGTACCCGCTTGATGCATTCAACCCGTGGCTCCAACTCCACATTCCCAAGCGGGTTGTCGCTGCTCGCGTCTGTGGTAGCATTCCCTCCGTGGCTGGCTTACTTGCTCGGGTGGGCGGGCAGCGGCTGGTCGTCTGCGTCTTCTCCATCAACGCTGTCTTCGCGACAATCAAAGGGCGGTGTCCAATGCGCCTCTTGTGTGCCGTCCGCTCTGGACGCTGATCTCGAGACGCTGTTTCGCCGTCGTCGAGGGGTGCGGACCACCACGCGCAACATGTCTCGGTCTGTGCGTTGTGGCTGCTGCGGTGAGGCTCAGTCAATGTCCACGCACCTGCTCAATATAGATCTATCTGCGTGAGGATGCCGTCATGCAAAACACCATGTGCCGAACCTTATGTGTGGCACCCAAGAGGTCGCAAGAAACGGCCCTCACCACCCAAGATATCTATCATAACCGAAGCGGCCACCGGAAAACGCTAAGAATCCAAGAACTCCCAAACATCAACCGGGAAAACGCCAACCGCATAAAATACGCCAACCACTCGTAAAACAAACCGTGTACGAACAACGACCGGAAAACACACCGACAACACATAGGAGCCCGTCGGAATGAACGCGGCCACCAGAAAACGCTGCGACATACACCCAAAGGAACGAATCTCCTGTTAGGAATGTGGAACCCAAGCGGCCACGAGGAAATGCGAAATATCCCTACAAGAACCCGTAGAGCGACCTCAGTGCAACACGCAACCAGAGAAACCCGTTCGAACGCAGGCGGCGACCAGAACGTGCAACATACTGATCCAGGTCTTTTCAAGCACACGTGAAAACCTCTGCGTCAATCACACTTTGAGGCAAATTGAAAATAAGACTCACATATTCGCCGGCCCCACGGGCCAGAGGCGTGCTAAGTTCTCCGGTAACTGGTTAACAATATTCTACTTCGCGCGCGCGGGGCGGCCCCTGGGGGTTTCCGGGCGAGAAGTACCCCAGCAAGGTCCTGGCAGGTCCAGGTCAGAGATGCCAGACCGGGCAATTTTTCGACACCTCTCACGAGGATCGTGTCCTCCGAGGGGGGAGCCGCAATCGACTACCCCCCCTCCCGCCCCAAGAGACCCCCAAAAGCCCCCCAAGAGGCCCTGCATTGGGGCCCCCAAGAAACCGCCAAAGAGCCCCAAGAGACTCCCAAGAGGTCCCCAAGAGGCCCCCAAGAGCCCCTAAAGAGGGCTCCAGGGCCGGCGGAATGAGCGAAGCGATTACATACAATTGTCCGCCGCACACCCGGCCTTGATGCCAGCGTGCTTCTCGCTGTCGCCTTCTCGTGTGTCGAATATTGTCCCGAGCCTCGTTTGTGCAATCGGTTACTTCCTTGTCAACTTCATACTCGTGGAGGCGTCGCCTCGGCTGCAGATGCAAAACTCTTCCACTTCCCATCAACGCATGTGTGGAAGAGGGCTGGTGGCGTTTGTGTCTCGAGGCCGGCATCTTCGGGTGACTCCCTGTCCTGTTCTGGGGAGACGCCACCCTGGTTCTTCAAGGACGCTTTCTTCACTTGCCTTGCTTTGCGAATTCGAACTGCATTGTTTTGGATTGTATTGCATACTTGTTCTTGGCCTTTGTTCATGCTGGTTTGCACGGCCTGGCAACACTTTGCTCTGCAATGTGTGCATTCTAACGCATTCGTTTGCGTTGCAATGCTTTGCTTCGAACCGCTTCACTGCGCTTTACTTTGAGTTGCATCGCAGTAGTCTGCGGTGCGCTTTACCTGACGTGTAAGTTATCGCGTTTGCGTTGCGTATCATCGTGTTTGCACCGCATCGCGCCGAAACGCGTAACAGAAGCCCCAGTCGTGTAGCCTCTCACGTAGCACACAACTAATACACCTTTCCACGCCGTTGCTTCACGTACTCTGGCGTTCCGCTGCGTTCAGACTTCCCCTCTCTGAATTGCTCGTTCGTTCCTGCCACGACCGAACTTCTTTAGCAGAGGGTTGTGGCTTCCGGGCGCGAATGTTACTTTTAACAAGAGGGTGCCCGTCATAGAGCGGGCCACGCGCCCATCGGCTACCAGCGTGTGTTGAGAGGACAGCCGGCCCAACGTCTGCTTCTCTGCCGTGTACGCGTGAGCCCAGCGCGGCCTCCAGGGCTGCAGAGACGCTGAATGGCAGATCGCGTAAGCACAAGTGGCAGGCCGCCAGCTGCTGCGGCCAAAGGATGTTTTGACTTTCTTTGTTGCGGCCTGGTGAAGTACCGTGCAATGAAACACTTCATCGCAACACATGCTCACGGAGCTCCAACGGATAAACCCGGCAGACAGAAGATACACATTCTCTTCAGGGCATGTGCAGTTGCGAAGGAGTCGACTGTCCACCATGTATTCCAGGTGATCTGCAGCAAAGCTGTTCCGAAACGCGCGCCTGTTGCATGGGCCCGCGGTGCATCGAGCCGCCCCCCCCCCCCTCCTCCTCCTCCTCCTCCTCGTCCTCCTCCTCCTCCTCCTCCTCCTCCTCCTCCTCTTCCTCTTCCTCCTCTTGCTTCTCCTCCTCCTCCTCCTCCTCCTCTTCCTCCTCCTCCTCCTCCTCCTCCTGAGTGCCGGCATGCCTGACGGCGAGAAAATGTCATCCTGACGCAGCCATCCCCCCACCCAAGGGCGGGGCGGTTCTGCGGGGTTGATCGCACTGTGAGCCCGGCGACTCCCTGAGCGTGCGCTCCTGGGGAGTCGCCAGCTGGTGGGAGATACACTTGAAAGGTGGGCAGCGACACGAGCGACAGACAGGCGACAGAGGAGACAGAGAGGAAAGGAACCACAGAATTCCTCATTCCTCCTTCTCCTCCTCCTCCTCCTCCTTCTCCTCCTCCTCCTCCTCCTCCTCCTCCTACCCCTCCTCCTCTTCCTCCTCCTCCTCTTCCTCCTCCTCCTCCTCCTCTTCCTCCTCCTCCTCTTCTTCCTCCTCCTCCTCGTCCTCCTCCTCTTCTTCCTCCTCCTCCTCCTTCCCCACAGCAGGGAGTGCGCCGTGAAAGCCAGCGGCGCCACGAGCGCCGCGGCTAGGGCAGCAAGCGCTGCCGCGCGCCTCTGGCGGCCCGCGCCCCCCATGGCTTGGCGCTGGCCTCTGGCAGTTTCCCTGCCGGCAGGCGTGAAACGGGCGCCCGAGACATAAGACAGAGCCCGGACGAGGGTAACATCGAGTGAGGATGGCGGGGGCACGAACAATGACATGAACAAAAAAAACTCGGAGGTTCGCGCGGACTCCTCGAACCCGCGCTGGGGCCCCCTGGCGGCGCCTCCGGCGCCGCCCCTGGCGCGCTCCGCGCGCCAGGGAGAGGGGTCCAGCGCCGATCCGAGAAATCTGCATGGACCTCCGAGTTTTGATGTTTCTGCCATTGTTCGTCCCCCGAGATACACCGAGAATCTCTGAGCTCCGGCGGCTCTGGAAGATTTCTTGGGCGCCGCGGTCCTCTCAAAGCGTTCCGGAACGCTCTGAGAGCGTTCTGGAACGCTCTGGAACGGATTTACCCTCGTGCTAGCTCCGTCCGAAGACAACCCGCCTCGGCACCCGATCGGGTGCCCGCGTCCGCGCTGGCCACAACGCACCCCTCTCCAAAAGTCCAATGCTCCGAGCAAAAATTGGAGCGGCCGTTTTTTTTGGTTTTCAGCCTCCGGGGGCCCTCAACGAGCCCCAGGACCGTCAACAAACGACTCAGGATGAACAACGGCCCTTGGGTTGGGCGGGCGGCGCTTAATGGGGTGGGCGAGAAATGGGGGGGGGGAAGACACGTGCAATTTTCGGGCCCGGAGAGCTTTTCTCTGGGCCCCAAAGAAAAAGGCGCCTGGCTCCTTTTTGGCAACCCTCGCTGCCCCCCCCCCGCATCGTCCCCCCATCTATCGCGGCCCAAGGCGGGGGTCACACTCCGGAGCCAGAGCTCGAACAGGGCAGGGCTGTTCAGTAAACGCCCAGGGACGTTTAGAAAACGCCAGTTGTCGGCGTCTGGGTGTCTTGTCCTCACTTGAAGAACGGATCCCTGGCCATCACTCGGACGCACATTCCCTGTGTTTTTTTTCGGTTTCGTGCGTGGCTTCTTCGCGAAATGAGCAAGGATGCTCCTCGATGGCCCTCACCGAGAAAAAACACATGTCCGAACGATGCCAGGATCCCGACCTCCGATTGCGCGGACTGCAATTTGGGGGAATTGTCCAGACCTCCCGGTGTCCACGCCTCGAACACATCGGAGCGCTGGCATGAGGAGGAGGAGGAGGAGGAGGAGGAGGAGGAGGAGGAGGAGGAGGAGGAGGAGGAGGAGGAGAGGAGGAGGAGGAGGAGGAGGAGGAGGAGGAGAGGAGGGAGGAGAGGAGGAGGAGGAGGAGGAGGAGGGAGGAGGAGGAGGAGGAGGAGGGAGGAGGGAGGAGGCAGCGTTGGGTGGGCGATGCAGGGCCTCGCGGCGGTAGGGGCTTCCAGTGCAGTGCGGCCGCGTGTGGTCCAACCCACGCCATTCTCATTGGAGGCGGCACGGATTCTTACTCGGGGTCTCGCCCTCTTGCGTGTATAGCAGACGATGCCAGGGCAGCCAGGACGAGGATACTATCGAGTGAGAAAAAGCCGAGAATCTCTGAAATTTGGCGGCTCTTGAGCATGTCTCGGGCGCCGCGGCCTTTTCAGAGCGTTCCGGAACGTTCTGGGAGCGTTCTGGAACGCTCTGGGACGGATGTATCCTCGTCCTAGCCCCGTCCGAGGATTACTACCCAGGTCTCGCCTTTTTGCGTGCATAACCGCCAGAAGCACCCGCGCAATACGAGGAGCGGGTGCACAAGGATAGGGTTATGTCTCAAGTGTCCGTTTCCCAACTGCCATACAGGGCCCGTCCTGGAAACTCGGCGGCACCTGCGCGTCGATTGGCGGCGGCGGCGGCGGATTGGCGAGGCTCACTAAGCCAGACCCTGAAAATCACCATTACCACGATTGCTCACTCCAGAAAGAAGAACGCGCCCCCCCAAAAAAAACAATTAGCCTGGCGAAGGACCCAACCGTATGCAGCTGCGAGTACCGCGCGGATATGAAACGAAGGAGGGGGCACGCAAACTAGGCCCCTTTTCTCATAGGCACCGCGCCGCTGCATGGACGAGGCACAGGGCAGCGCGGGCAGGAGGTGGCGGGCGGAGGAGGAGAGCTCACTGGGGCGAGCCAACACATCAGTATCATCATCGCATCATGAGACCTGTTACTGGGCACGCAGGAAGAGGTGACGGAGACACCGTGTAGATGTCGAAGGCAGGTCAGCAGCGGCAGAAACGAGACGGGGAAGCGCGCGGTCAAGAAGCGATGGGAAACAAGAGGAACGAGAGACGAGGGGATACGTTTTTGCCTCCGGACCGACAGCGAGCCACGCAGAATGCAGCGCGCAGGCGGCGCCGCGCGAAAGTGCCTGGGAAGTCCTCGCCGACGCGGTCTGGTCATCCCGAGGGAATCCCATCGACGCGCGGGGGTTGTCCACTGCGACTCTGAGTCAACGGATAGCGCCCCCGTACTGCGTGGCGAGGCGTGCGAAAATGGCGCGATCTGGGTGAAATCCCCCGACAGGCGCCGGTCATCCTCTGGCGAGAAATCCCGACGACGAGCTGGGGTCATCCAAGCGTCAGCGACAACCAGCGCGCGCCGCTGGCTCGTGCGGGGCCGCTCCCCAGGTCAGGCCTCGCGGATGAACTCGCTGAAGCCCAGCTCTCTGGCGAGGGCCGTCGCCTCCCTCCTGCGCCGCTTCGTGCGCGCAGCAAACTGCTCCAGCTGCTTCCGCAAGCCCTCCGGCGGCCCTGCCAGGAAGAACTCGACGAGCGGCGCCCGCATGAGCAGGAGATCCTCGTGGCGCGTGGCGCGCGAGAGCAGCGCGTAGAGCTCCAGCCACCAGTCGTCGTCCTCCTTCTTGCCGTTCCCGACCTCGTGGCGGCCGCAGTCCAGGATCACGCCTGGGCGGCGTCGGTCGAGGGAGCGGCGCGCAAGACAGCCGACGGCCCAGGGCGAGAGAGAGTCCACGGGGCCGAGAAGGTCCGGCTGCGGACCGCTCGCGTTCGAAGGGTTCGGCCGTAGACTGTCCGGTGGCGCCGTTCCCCCGCCCCGCCGCCTTCCCGCACGGTGCGCCCCTGGCACGCCACCGTGGTGATGACCGTGCCGTGTGAAAACGGGAAGCCCGTCCGGGTGACCTTGGAGGTGCGGACGGTGAACGGCTCCGACGTGCGGGGCTCGATGAACACCAGCGGGCCCGTGAGGTCCCCCGTGAGGCTGTCGTCGTGGCGCTTCAGGTCGTCCACGAAGGGCGCGCCCGCGTACTTGTCCATGCTCACCCAGAACCCCTGGGGCAAGCGCGTGTGAGGGGTGTGCCAAAATGGGGCGGCGGCGGCATGCGGACGCAGCCATTTGGGCCTTAGATGGAGCTCCCAATGGGGCCACGAAACGTGTGAGGGGTGTACCAAAATTGGGTGGCGGCGGCATGCGGACGCAGCCATTTGGGCCTTCGGTGGAGCTCCCCATGGGGCCACGAAGCGTGTAAGGGGTGTGCCAAATATGGGGTGGCGGCGGCATGCGGACGCAGCCATTTGGGACTTAGATGGAGCTCCCTATGGGGCCACGAAGCGTGTGAGGGGTGTGCCAAAATTGGGCGGCGGCGGCATGCGGACGCAGCCATTTGGGCCTTCGGTGGAGCTCCCCATGGGGCCACGAAGCGTGTAAGGGGTGTGCCAAAAATGGGGTGGCGGCGGCATGCGGACGCAGCCACTTGGGCCTTAGATGGGGCTCCCATATGGGGCCACGAAACGTGTGAGGGGTGTGCCAAAATTGGGTGGCGGCGGCATGCGGACGCAGCCATTTGGGCCTTCGGTGGAGCTCCCTATGGGGCCACGAAACGTGTGAGGTGTGTGCCAAAATTGGGTGGCGGCGGCATGCGGACGCAGCCATTTGGGCCTTCGGTGGAGCTCCCTATGGGGCCACGAAACGTGTGAGGGGTGTGCCGACGATGATGATGATGATGATGATGATGATGATGGTGATGATGATGATGAACGACAACCACGATGTGGATGATGATGATGACGATACTCATGATGATGAGTATGATGAGGATGGTGATGATGATGGGAGGAGGGGGGAGGGGGCAGCGGGAGGAGGAACGCGGGGCACCGTCTCTTCAAAACGAGGACCCAACACCACAGGATGGTTGGGAAAAACACATAGCGGCCATCCATCACATCTTTGACCGCATTTCCTACATATCCTGGCTCGTTGCCTGCCCTTTTGCGTTCATAGCCGGCTGGTGCTCCAGCCTGACTCCTACGCCGATGTTCCCTCAACACATGCTGCTTCGGGTGGTGGCTCCGAGGAGTGCAATGAAGTACGACGCTGCGATTGCGGCATACTTGAGTGTTAGAGTGCTTGACCGTTGTCTGGTGGGGGTTCTGGAGGTTTTGAAAGGGAGACCCAACCCTTACTCGCAAGCATCCCCATTAACTTGCCCCACCTCGGATTGATTCACACAAGCATTTTCTGTCTCTCGATGGGCGGCTAAAGGCCACCCCGAAGCGGCTGCACTATACCCGAGGACCTTCCCACGACTGCCCGGCTATCTCCTCCTCGGGCCCCATTATGTTCCCAACAGGTCATGTGAAGCTCCCAAGAAGCGCCGAAGGAGGCCTCCCGCGAGAAACAAACTAGCACACATATGAAACAAACTAGCACACACACACACATATGAAACAAACTAGCACATCAACGCTGTTTGACTCGAAAGCTTTGTGGCTTCAGACCGTTCCAAGAGACAGCTTCAGATGTCTCCGAGAGCGCCCAAGGCGACCCAAGACGGCCCCACGACGGCCCCTCACGACGGCCCCAAGACGCTCCGAGAATCCTTCAAAGGGGGCCCGAGAAAGCTCCCAGACGGCCTCCAGACACGCCCACAAATCCCCAAGATAGTTAGGAGGAGGAGGAGGAGGAGGAGGGGGAGGAGGAGGAGGAGGAGGAGGAGGAGGAGGAGGAGGAGGAGGAGGAGGAGGAGAGGAGGAGGAGGAGGAGGAGGAGGAGGAGGAGGGGGAGGGGGAGGGGGGAGGTGGAGTCTGCGGGATAGCCTGGCAGAAGCACCGCGCCTG